TTTTTTTTTTTTTTTTTTTTTTTTTTTTAGCTGCCTATACACCCCGCGGGTGTATAGGCAGGGTCACCGCGATCAGGTTGTGTTTTTTAATGAATTTTTTCGATGAAATTAAATTAAAATAAATTAATTTAAATATTTATTTTATTATTTTTATTTATTTTATTTATTTATTTTATTTTTTTCTTGTTTTTAGTGTTTTTATTTTACTGAATTTCATCTATTTTTAGATACAAAGAAGAAACCGCCAGATAGATCAACCCTAAACCCTAAACCCTAGACCCTAAACCCTTTATTTTATTTTATTTATTTTTATTTAATTTATTTAATTTATTTAATTTATTTAGTTTTATTTATTTATAATTTTATTTATTTTAATTTTTTATTTTATTTATTTCGTCATTTTTGTTTCTCTTTTTAAGCAAACCCTAAACCCTAAACCCTAAATAATAGGCCGTAAACCCTAAACCCTAAACCCTAAACCCTAAACCCTAAACCCTAAACCCTAACTGTAAACCCTAAACCCCCGACAAAAACAACAAAAAGTCTTCAAAGCAGCACTGCTGCGGTTATTAATTAATTCCATTAAACCCTGCTGCTGCAGCAGCAGCAGCAGCAGCAACAGCAGCTGCAGCAGCAACAGCCGCTGCAGCAGCAACAGCAGCTGCAGCAGCAGCAGCAGCAAGGCCTTTAAAAGGGTTTAGGCTAACCTAAAACCCTAAACCCTAAACCCTAAACCCTCAACACTATTTGCCAGCAACAGAACAAACCCGTTGCAACAAACCCTAAACCCTAAACCCTCATAAACCCTCATAAACCCTCATAAACCCTAAACCCTAAACCCTCAATCAGATGCATCGTCTATACACCGCAACCTGCGTGGCCTTCTCTGAGACCTTCACCTCCAAACACTGCACAACACACACAAACCCTAAACCCTAAACCCTCATAAACCCTCGTAAACCCTAAACCCTCAAAAACCCTAACCCTCAAAAACCCTAAACCCTAAACCCTAAAGCCTCACAAGCCCTAAACCCTCATAAACCCTCATAAACCCTCATAAACCCCAATAAACCCTCATAAACCCTCATAAACCCTCATAAACCCTAAACCCTCATAAACCCTAAACCCTAAACCCTCATAAACCCTACTCTAATTCCTCTTTTTTTTAAGAGGCTTTCCGTTAAGCTATCGACGAGACACTGCCAAATGTAAGCGGATAATTCTTCTGCTGTTGAGTGTACAATAGGCAAACACTGCACACAACACACAAACCCTAAACCCTAAACCCTCATAAACCCTAAACCCTCATAAACCCTAAACCCTCAAAAACCCTTATAAACCCTCATAAATCCTTATAAACACTTATAAACCCTCATAAACCCTTATAAACAATTATAAACAATTATAAACAATTATAAACAATTATAAACAATTATAAACCCTCACAAACCCCCATAAACCCTCATAAACCCTCGTAAACCCTCAAAACCCCCCACAAAACCCCATAAACCCTCATAAACCCTCATAAACCCTCACAAGACAGTCTGTTCTCGGTAGCAGAAACTCAGCCCCATCCTGGCAACGCATGCGGATGCTGTTTCCTTCTTTTGTTATTTCAAGCACGTCGCTGCGCATTGGGATTATAGTATGTTCATTCAGAGACTGTATAAAAAAAAAAAAATAAAATAAAAAAAAAACATTTAGTTTTTATTTATTTATTTTATTTATTTATTTATTTATTTATTTATTTATTTATTTTGTTTATTTATTTATTTTATTTTGTTTATTTATTTTGTTTATTTATTTATTTATTTATTTTGTTTCCTTCTTTTGTTATTTCGAGGACGTCGCTACGCATAGGGATTATACACAACACATTTATTTATTTATTTATTTATTTATTTTATTTTTTATTTTTATTTATTTATTTTATTTGTTTGTTTGTTTGTTTATTTATATAAATGCTGCTGCTGCTGCTGGTAGTGGTGCTGCTGCTGCTGCTGCTGTTTAAAGAGTGATACAAAGAAACACAGACACACAGATGCTGCTGCTGCTGCTGCTGCTGCTGTTGCTGCTGCTGCTGTTGCTGCTGCTGCTGCTGCTGCAGCTGTTCTCTCTGTCTAACCCTGTTGGTTGTGCTGCTGCTGCTGCTGCAGCAGCAGCACAACCAACAGCAGTACTACTACCACCAACAGAAGCAACAGCAGCAACAGCAGCAGCAGCAGCAGCAGCAACAGCAGCAGCAGCAGCACAACTACAACGACTAGAACGACCAAACAAACAGCAGCAACAGCAGCAGCAGCAGCAGCAGCAACCCACCTTGCAGACATCTCTCAACGCCCGTTTTGCTTCCTTAAAATCCAAGACATAACCATCATGATTAACAACACCAACAAGAGTAGCAGCAACAGCAGCAGCAGCAGCAGCAGCAGGACGAGTACAGCAGCAGAACTAGCACCACTAGAACCACCGCAAGAAGCAGCAGCAACA